TTCCTAGAGACTACTTCCCATTTTACTCGATGGTCTTTTTTTGAGTCATCTGGTTCCCAAATAAAATCTCTCATAAGTTTTTCAATTTTCCTTGCAAGCTTGTCAGGTATCTTGAAAGTGGATGAAAAATACACTGGTAGGTTTGCTAAAGTGGACTTAATTAATGTGATTCTACTCTCTAATGAGATATAGTTTCTTTTCCACCCCACTAACCTCTTTGTGAATTTTTCCAAAATCGGTTACTAGAACCTTTCTAATCTAGGATTTCCCCCCAWGGTCAAGCCCAAATAGATCAWAGGCCATCCACTTACCTCACAACSTAAGGATCTAGCCACAAAGAATTGCTCCTCTTCCTCCTTATTTACTCTCACAACACAACAATGGTTTAAAAAGTCCCTAATTTCCCTAATATTTCTATGACATATTTCCATTTCCATTGTTAGTGGCACAAAATTTTACCAGAATCGACATTTCCCCAATGAACACTACCAGCACTATGTGGAGATAGTTTCCACAACATATTTCCATTTCCACTTCCACTTCCATGGGAAGTGACATGAAATTTTATTGTAATCAACATATTCCCCAATGAAAACTACCAGTACTTTGTGGAGTCCAAGAGTATTATAACATAGGTTGGTGACAATATTCCAGATATGTGAAGTAACAGTGTTAGTTTACGCCTAACTTACATGATAACCACATTGAGCTAGCTCAATATTCATTTCAAACATGAAGTTATAACATAGGTTTGTGTAATAGATTATATTGTTGATCTAAATCATTTACATTTTCTATGAGTTAAAATTTTGCTTTAACACATTCTATTTTGAAACTCTGAATCTTAAGGTTTACAGGGCAACTTCAGAATGTATTCTTTTGTCCATAACCTTAGTTTCTTAAATTTGTTTAATGATTTAGAACAAGATAGTGATTTAAAAAGGTGAGCCTATGCTTCTTTTATCATTTCATAAAATATCATTCTATGTTTTGCATATTTTACACTGTTTCCACCATGTCTATGATTTTTACAATATTTCCATACGATATTTCCGACATGTTTCTTATATTTGGATGACCGACATTTCCATCGACATCAACATTTTAAACCTTGAACACAACTTTTGTTCCAATTGACTCTCAAATTCGAGACCCTCTCAAAGTGTGTTACTAACCTTTTCAAATTTACCATCTCCTCCAGATCCCYTTCACAAAAAATTATGTTGTCTGCAAACTATAGGTGAGTAAAGACACTCACAACATGCACTAAAAGTGTAAAGAGAAAGGGGGAAGGGGGTCTCCTTGTCTAAGGCCCCTCTTAGCAAGAAAGAAGTCCCTAGCTACTCCATTTACCAAGACAAATAGTGACAAGTAGTGATTACAACCTTTAATCCATTTGCACCATCTCTCTCCAAATCCTTTGTTCCTCAAAACTTCTAGTAAGAAATTCCTTCTCTTTCTTTTCTTAAAATCCACACATTCATTTGCAATTAGGATTTGGTCAACAATTTGACTCCCTAGGACCAAGACCCCTTGATTTTGAGAAATTAAAGGAGGGGAGGACTTGTTTTATTCTCAGGGCAAGAACTTTAGCAATGATTTTGTAAATGCTCYTAATCAAATTGATAGGCCTGAAGTTCTTAGGTTGAATTGCATCTACTTTCTTGGAAATCAAGGCTATAAAAGTAGTGTTTTCACCTGAGTTGAATTTTCCCCTTTCATAGAACTTCAAGAAAACCTCCATCAAATCATGTCCTAGTATATCCCAGRAATCTTGGTAGAAGGCCATTGAGAATCCATCTGGGCCCGGGGCTTTTGATCTACCCATGGAGAACAAAGCATCTTTTATTTCCTGAACCTCAAAAGGCCTCTCTAAGGGTTCCAGAAGTTCC